AAATACTAAGTCACTGTTAATTTACTAAAATTTTTAATGATTTACTAATATATTGTTAGACATTTAATACAATGTTATCATTGATTTAATATAATTCACTACCAAGTTATCATTTTATTACTTTTTATTACTTAGTTTTAATATAATTCACTACCAGGTTATTATTAATTTATATTAAATTATCCATGATTTACTATTACCTAATTATCACTAATTAACTATCAAGTTATCGATTATTTATTACTAAGTTATATTCATTTACTTTTAAATTTTTAATTATTAACTATTAAATTATCATTGATTTACTATTAAGTTGTTTATGATTTACTACTAAATTTATCAATTATTTATTATTAAACTAAAACTTATTTATTATTAAGTTGTCAATAATTTACTATGAAGTTATTATTAATTTATTACTAAGCAATCAATAATTAACTACTAAGTTGTCATTTATTTTTTATTAAGCTATCCTTAATTTATTAATATGTTTTTATGCATATACAACTATAAAATATAGAGTTTTAAAAGTCCACTAACAATATATGAGATAATTTTCCTTTCTTCTTATATAATAACATTATTACTTTGTTCAAATTTAATTTTTTTACTAATTTTTTATTAAGTAGGTTCACGTAGATTTATCCAAGTCCCCAAGATGAAAATTCTGGTTTTGTTTCTATTAGTAACCAAGATTCAATCCCTAACAACATAAGGTATAAAAAAAGATTAATAATTTACATTTAAGTTTTATTGATTTATTATTATGTTGTCAATAATTTATTTAAAGCCTATCGAACTAATTTATTCCTAAATTAGTCATTAACTAATTTACAAAATGATTAACATTATGTTATGAATGAATTTACTATTAAATTATTGAAATATTCCACCTGAATTATTAATAATTTACTTATAAAGTTATAAGTTTATTTGCTACTAATTTATCGATAATTTATTACAAAGTTACCAATGATTTAACTAATTTACTATTAAAATTATCACTGATTTACAACTAAATTATTAGTAACTTACTACTTCATTATTATTGATTTATTAATTAAGTTATTAATATTAGTAATTATATTATATAATTTACTATTATATTATCATGAATTTAACTACTTAATTTTGATTATTTAATACAAAATTATTACCATTTTACTACTAAATTATCCGTTTGTTCACTACAAGTTACTACTAATTGTGATAAATTATCTATAATTTATTATTAAGTTATCATTTATTAAATATTAAGTTAGTTATCGATAATTTGCTATTGAGCTAAACTGATTTATTTTTAAGTTTTCAATGATTAACTATTAAATTATCAATTATTTATACCAAATTATCATTTATTTACCACTAAATTATTTATAATTTACTACTATCAATTAGTTACTATTAAACCAAAATTTATTTACTATTAAGTTATCATTGATTTATTACTAAATTAATGATAAACTACTAAATTATTACTAATTTTTAATAAGTTATCCTTGATTTACTATTATGTAGTTATGCATTTACAACTATATTATAATTGATTTATTACTAAGTTATTATGCATTTACTATTATATTATTACTGATTTACTATTAAGTTATTAATTATTGACTACAAAATTATCATTCATTTATTATTAAGTACTAGTTTAATACTAAGTTATCTATGATTTACTATTAAGTTATCACTAGTTAACTATTAAGTTATTGATAAAGCTATTCGTAATCAATTGATTTTTTATTTTCCATAAGATAATCTTCTATTGATGCTTCTATTTATTTTTATTAACTACTAAACTATCACTTATTTTTTATTAAATTATCCTTGATTTTCTACTATGTTATTATGGATTTACAACTATGAAATATGGAGTTTAAAAAGTACACTAACAATAGATGAGATAAATTTATTTTTATATAATAAAATTTTACTTTATTCAAATTTAAAAATTTTTATTGAATAGATTCATAGTAGGTTTATTCTTACCTCTAAGATGAAAGATCTAGCTTCATTGTTGCTAATAATTAGAATTCAATCCCTAACAATTGTAAATATAAAAAAGTTATCAATAATTGATAATTTCATTTTCATTTATTTACTGCCATGTTATTAATGACTTACTACTAAGTTATCAATGATTTACTACTAAATTATAACAATTTGTTACTAAATTATCATTGATTTATTACTAATTTATAAATCATTTATCATTAATCTATAAATGATTAACTACTAAGTTACTAATGATTAATTATCAAATTATAACGAATTTACTACTAATTTATCGATTTATAAATGATTTATCACTAATCTACAAATGATTTACTACTAAGTTACTAATGATTAATTATAAAATTATAACAGATTTACTACTAATTTATCAATAATTTACTATAATGTTATCAATGATTAATTGATTTACAACTAAATTATAACTGATTTACAACTAAGTTATTAGTGATTTACTATTAAGTTATCAATAATTTACTACTAACTTATTAGTAATTTACTATTATATTACTATACATTTACCACAAAGTTATCATTTATTTACCATTAAATTTTAATTATTTATTTCAAAATTATCATTGATTTACTATCAGTTACTTTTAAGTTTCAAATTATTAAATACTAAATTATCAATTATTTTTTGATAAGTTATTATTGATTTACTATATATGAAGTTATTTATGATTTGCTACTAACTTTATTAATTAATTACTATTAAACTGATTTACTATTAAGTTATCATTGATATATTATTAAGTTATTATTGATTTATTACTAAGTTATCAATGATTAACTACTAAATTATCACTTTTTTATTAAGTTATCCTTAATTTACTATTATGTTGTTATGTATTTATAACTATAATATTATAATTGATTTACTACTAAGTATTATACATTTTATTATTATGTATCACCAAATTTATTGCTAAGTTATCAATTATTAACTACTAAATTATCATTTTTTATTATTAAGTTATCAATATTTTTATTATTAAATTATAATTGATTAACTATTTAGTTATCAGATCATAACTACTAAATTACATTGATTTATTTTTAAGTTTTTAATAATTAATTATGAAGTTATCAATTATTTACTGTTATTTTTCTCATTGATTTGCGTATATCAAAGAAAGAAACTTATAATAGATGCTAAATAATAATAATTTACAAAATAAAGAAAAATATAAAAAATTTAAATATAAACAACTTAAAAAGTATTCATAATTTCATTCCTTAAAAGAAAATCCCTTTTACCTCATTTGGGCTAGTATAAAGAATTCCATCAACCTCAGTAAACTTTAGAGTTGTTTTAGAGGTAAATAATGGTGGTTGATCGTCATGATTTGCTATCCACACAAACCGTTTTATGTCTTTTAGGCAAAGTATCAAATCCCAACGCCAAAGCCATTATTTGCTAGTAAAAACCAAATACAAATCGATCAAAAGTGGAAGGCCATGATGAGGCATATGCATCGGAGAAAAAGGTAGAGAATGGCGTTATAGGGCTAGATTGCACTTGTTAAACTCTTCTTTTGGCTAAACATACAAAACTTAGGAGTAAGAGAACAGTAGACATGGAAGCCATGGTAAGTCTGTGAGAGAGAAGGGCAATTTTGTAACCAAAATGCCCAAGCTTCGGAAATGCATCCTATTCTAAAAGTTCTAGAGGCTCAAACAGAGCTAAATGTACTTAGTTTTTTAATACTTATTATGCACGTGATTATTAACCAATTTTTTTTATACTTATTATGCACGTGGTTGTTAGCCAGATTTTAAATTAGAAGGTATTAATGAAATCATTTTAGTATTTTTTATGAGAAATTAAAATTGAAATAAATTATCATGATAAATAAAAATTAAATTGAAAATGTTCAATTTAAGTTCAAAAGCAAATTAAAATAAACAAATTTTTTTTTTTAAAAAAAGTTTCCAAATATAGGAAATAAAATTGAATCTTCTATTAAAAAAATTTAAGTAGCTAAATTTCAACAAAAATCTATTTTTAAATTTTAGTTTATTAAATTAAATTTAAAAATAAATTAATAAAATCTATATATTTAAGAATAAATTTATTAATTTAAAAATTAATAACATATATTTAGATCGATCACCTTTAAAACTTTTAGAGTTTCTACTTTTATATATAATAGAAAATAGATAGATGATAGTGATGCATCAAAGAGTATAATTGAGCTAGAAACATGTAATATAAATATTTATTTCAAATTTTTAAGGGAATCTTTTAATGCTACTTGGACAAACCTTTCAGTCAATCTCTAAACAGGATTTCAGTACCATTACATACATATGTTTGCACATACATGCATGAATGCATGTATCTATACTTGGAACTGTACGCCTATTTTAAATGGATTGCAGGCCTTAAAATCAATTTACATTTGTACCTTGGTCACTAGATTCCTACGGAAACTAAAAGCTAATTATCATTTCAGATCTGTATATAAAACTGTTCCAAATTGTGAACCCCGCCGCCCCTTGTACACAAAGCAAAAGTATTTAGCTTCAATGGAATGTGCTGTTCTCTCAGGGAAGCTTTGTGCACAGTCTATTGTACAGGTACTTTTTGCATTATTTTGCTCTGCCATGTTGCTATAACTGAACCGGCATAAGTTTCACTTTTTTCCCGCATAAAGTTCAATTACTAGTTGTCTTAGATGCCGAACTTGTTGCTATACACCATGCCAGGAGTCCTGTAAAGGTGGCAATGAGTCGATACAATAGGACGATGAAATGAAATTGTCTGTTTGTGCTTGTTTCAACACTTCTAATGCCTCGAAATATGCAGGATTACGAGTTGCTTCGTACTTTGGCACAAAGAAAGTTGACAGGAGCAAGCATTCACTAATGGCTTTTAAGTTGAAGGCAAAAATTCACAAGTTCCATTGTTCAAGGCCAGTAGGTTAGTGGTCTCAGCAGTACATATATAATATCATATACCCCTATAAAATCTGTAACATGTGCAAAGAGCATCACAAACTGCGTGTAAAATTCTTTTGATCGAATCTATATGGTCTTCAATTATCCTGTTAAAAGAAAAAAAAAGAAAGAAAAGGAACCTATATAATCTTCATCATTCTAGCAACTTCTAAGTTTTTGAGGAATCGTCATCATAAATAATCATAATCACAATTATGCTGTAGAATACATTAGCCATCTTTAAGTGAACAAATTAAGATAGAAACACTGAGTTCATTGAAATTGCAAGCCCACTAGATTGAGTGGTAACCTGTAAGTTAGAAATTGAGGCTTCCCTTTTGTACAAAGATTAAAGTGCGAGAATGGAAGGGGAAAAGAAGAAACAAAAAATATTTTTACTAGTGTTTAATTCGATAGGTGAAAGAAGAAAAAATAGAGTAGGGATAGAGTTATGTCTCAGGCTATGTATTTAGGAACACTTATAGTATATCCTCACTTAATCTCTTTATTTCTTGTATATCTGCTACTTAATTTTAGAGAATTATTACTCAAATAGCAAGGCTTTGTTTTGTAACCGCTAGTTATGACCCTTTGTTGCCCCAGTAAATTTCTTCTTCTCGCTATTGGCATGAAAAGGAGGACACTCTATAGGGAGATAACCGCTTCCTGCATGAACACGACAAATTGGTCCTTTCCCTTCTATTAGATTTCTCTGAATCTCTTCATTGACCTTCTTTCCTGCAATCAACCCGAAAACGGAAAACAAAGTACTGAACAATAGATTAAAATCCAAAACTTAGAAGAAGGTTACTGTACAATGATAGTTGTTTTTTTATTTTTAATTTTTCCTTTTTGTTATAGCTTACATTACATAGGTAACACTTACCAAAGTCAGTGCTTCTGGTTGAAGTTGGAGGCAAGAGTAGTGAAAGTGATAGTAGCAGGACAAGTAAAGAAAGAACAGGGGAAATCTTACAGGACATGCTTGCAAAAAAAAACTGGTTTCTGGTGGAAACTAATGGCAGCTTGATCGGATTGGGTTCATGCTCCATTATATAGAGCTGCCCACTCGTTCAATCCTAAGACTCTTTTTTTGGTCTTTTTTTAGTAATTGCTCGTCGTCAGCTTCGGACAATTGCTCTCTCTTCTTCTCTTTTCTGAATTTCCAAATGATGATGTCGGCCATGATTTAACGTTTAACAGTAACGGATCTTAATGTTTAACTTTGGGGGATTGAAATAATATTTTATGATAATACTTTTTTATTTTTTAAAATATATCGAATCTATATATAATAAAAAATTTTAAATGCAAACATAAGAATAAAATTTATGATTATAAATATGTCAATATGCAAAATATGTCTTCAACTTCTTAGTCAAGTAGTTAAAAAGAATTAGAAAGACATGTAAAGTGAAAGTTTAAACCCTATCATTAAATAAAAAATATGGAAAAATATATCAAACAAATTATATATAATCACTAGCAACAGATTTTATAAAAATAACATTATTAATATATTACCTTATCATATTTAATATTGTAAATATTACAGTAAAAAATCATAAAATATTATATTTTTTGAATAAAAGATAGATTTTAGAACAGTAAAGATTTTAATATAATAAACTGAAACTTTATAAATTTTAAATGGTACTTTTAAATTACGAAAAGGTACTTAAGCTATTGTCATATTAATTATTTTAGTATGTAATAATCTTTTTAAAAAAATGAGCATAATTAAGTATTAAATTAAAAAAGTCAAAAAAATTATTAAATAAAAAATAAAATTTAGAGCAATAGAGTAAAAACTTTAATACGATTAGTTTAAATCTTCTAATTTTTTATATTATATTTTTAAAATTATGAAAAATGAAAAGATACTTAAATTAATCATTGTAATTATTTTGGCTTATAACAATTTTCACAAAAAATGGGCATGCAATATATAGTAAAAATAGTTTGATTAAAAAAAGATAAAATGACGCCAATTGAAAATTTTTAGATCGGTTTTAATAATTATAATACTCATATATATTAAAATTAAATCTAGATATTTGTAAAAATATAATAATAATTAATCTATTCATTTTAAATTAAAAATCATTAAATCTAATTTAAAAAATAATATATTTGAACACAATAAATTTAAGTTTGAAGGAACCTAACTAATTTATTTGTAAAGAAATTTCATAATTATTGAGAAAATAATATGTCTGAAAAAAGTTTTCAAAATTTGGGGGAGACCATGCCTCTACTAGGTTCTAATGAGGAACCCCTTCCTTTTGGCGAGCTTGATCTATTGATATGACATTGGATTTTTAATTTTATTGAACAATTTTAAATATCCAAAAATAATAAGCTTAAAATTATGTTGTTGACTTCCATAATATTGATATTTTTATATATGACATCATAATACGGTACAAAAAATGATGTAAAAAATCATTTATGAGTTTAAAAAAATAAAAAATATATTTTGTATTTGACATGTTGATACAAATTATTTTACGATACTTTTTGCATTTTTTTATGATTTTGATACAAAACAAATATGATATAAATACATTAATTATCATTTTTTTAAATTTGTTTTTAATTTGTTGCTCCCTTTTGTCTTGTATATAAAATTTATATACTGTCTTATCTTGGTGGGCTGAATATTTTATCACAAGCATGCAAATTATATATATTATCCACTATTAAAAATTGAAAAACATTTGCTAAAGTTTCCACCTTTATTAATTCTGTATGATTTTCTTTCTATAAACAATGTTAGTTCTTCCTATAAACAATGTTAGTGCCCTTAGTGGAGTGAAATCGCAAAATGGGAGCACAACACTTAAAGAAATTTCTTTGAAAGGCGTTGGTTTGGGTATTGAAAAAAGATTGTAAGTATTAAAATTTGAATTTATATCTATTAAATGTAATTTTTATAGATGATTACATGAACCAACTAAATTAAATCTCAGATTCTCTATATATTTGATAATTGAATTTATCAAGATTAAACAAAATATATTTGATAATTGAATTTACAGGACATGCTTGCAACAAAAAAAAAATTGGTTTCTGGTTGAAACTAAGTGTTGAGATTTGAATTCATATTTATCAAATATAATGTTTTATAAATGGTTACATGAATTAACAAAATTAAATCTCAAACTCTCTCTATGAGTCTTGTGACATCATATGCTTTTTATCTCTTTGGATTGATTTAGTCTTACATTATTTTCTATTTATTTTTACCAAATATAGTCAGATTTGGCAATCACAAAAATTGCGTGTCAAAATTCATATCAAAATGAAAATATAAATACATTTTTTATTTTGTTAAATTCTTATATAGTTTACCTAAAATTTTAAACCATATTATCTTTGTAATTTTGCTTACCGTTTTTTTTATTATGTCACTGTATTATGTTTTAAATTGATAAATTTATACATAATTAAGAGGCAATAAAATATAGTACTTGTAATTATTCAAGATTGGTGGGCTGAATATTTTATCACAGGCATGCAAATTATATATATTATCCACTATTAAAAATTGAAAAGCATGTGCTAAAAGTTTCCATCTTTATTAGTTCTAAATGTATCTCTTAATATGAACAATGTTAGTGCCTTTAGTTGGTGTGAAATTACAAAATGGGAGTGCAACACCTAAGAAATTTCTTTGTAAGGCATTGATTTTGGGGATTGAAAAAAAAATTGAAAGTGTTGAATTTGAATTCATATTATTTAAATGTAATGTTTATAGATGATTACATGAATCAACAAAATTAAATCTCAAACTCTTTCTATGAGCCTTGTGACATCATGTGCTTTTTATCACTTTGGATTGATTATTAGTTCTGTATGTTTCTCTTGACATGAACAATGTCAGTGCCTTTGGTTGGTGTGAAATTGCAAAATGGGAGTGTAACAACTAAGAAATTTCTTTGTAGGGAGTCAATTTGGGGATTGAAAAAAAATTGAAACAATTTCTTGAAAGGGAAATGTGACAGTTTTTAATAATAAAGAAATGTGACTTTCGAAGTCAATGTATGCTTTTCTCTCTAAGTTGATGTGGAAACTCACTTACATGAATATTTCTTATCTAAATAAAAGTATTCTTCAACGTGATTTCATTGATTTTTCTAAACGTTCTTTAATTAGTTCAATACAATTTTAATTGCAAAAACAACTTATAATATAATTATAATAAAAAAAAAAGATCAGATCAGTTTGCCGTTGTTTATATATATATATATATATATATATAAACAAATTGGGAGAATAAGTATTTATTCAAGCTTAAACATTTTATTTTGCAAATAATGGAAGTAAACTGGCATCAATTAATGTGTGGTCATTTCTCAAGTTAAATTTTATTTTATTTTTTGTATTTTATATTTGAATTTATTTTAATGAATTTCGACTTATATTTTCCTAGTCGTCGATTTATACACTTTTATTTCCTTCTCAAATAACATTACCAATTTCCGATGTGTAAATTGCATATAAGCTTAGACCCTTAATTTTATATGAGCTGATTTGATTTTGATCTATTTTTAAATTTGATTTGAATATTTTGAGTTGGGTCAACTTAACTGTTTTAATTAAATTTGTGAACGAATTTTATGCCAAATTAATCATTTTTGGATTATTTTACATGAATCAATGCTTAATCCAATTTGATTTAGTTGATTTAAATATAACTATCAAGTTATCGATTATTTACTACAAGTTATATTGATTAACTTTTAAATTTTCAATGATTAACTACTAAATTATCATTAATTAACTATTAATTTATTTATGATTTACTACTAAATTTATCAATTATTTACTATTACACTAAAATTGATTTACTATTAAGTTTCACTAATTTACTATGAAGTTATTATTAATTTATTACTAATTAATCAATAATTAACTACTAAGTTGTCATTTATTTTTTATTAAGCTATCCTTAATTTATTAATATGTTTTTATGCATATACAACTATAAAAAATAGAGTTTTAAAAGTCCACTAACAATATATGAGATAATTTTCTTTTCTTTTTATATAATAATATTATTATTTTGTTCAAATTTAATTTTTTTAACTAAGTTTTTATTAAGTAGGTTCATGTAGATTTATCCTAGTCCCCAAGATGAAATTCCTGGCTTTGTTTCTATTAGTAACCAAGGTTCAATCCCTAACAACTTAAGGTATAAAAAAAGATTAATAATTTAACAATTAAGTTATATTGATTTATTATTATGTTATCAATAATTTATTTTAAGCTATTAATAATTTACTACTAAATTATCAATAATTTTTATACTAATTTATAAATGATTAACCATTATGTTATGAATGATTTACTATTATTGTTGAATAGTTACCACTGAATTATTAATAATTTACTAAAAGTTATAAGTTATTTGCTACTAATTTATCGATAATTTATTATAAAGTTATCAATGATTAACTAATTTACAACCAAATTATTACTGATTTATAACTAAATTATTTGTAACTTAGTTACTACATTATTATTGATTTATTATTTAGTTATTAATAATTTATTATTATATTATATAATTTACTATTATGTTATCATGAATTTACTACTTAATTTTTTATTATTTAATACAAAATTATTACTAATTTACTCCTAAATTATCCATTGTTCACTACCAAGTTACCACTTATTTGTGATAAATTATCTATAATTTATTATTAAGTTATCATTTATTAAATATTAAGTTAGTTATTGATATTTTAATATTGAGTTGTACTGATTTATTTTTAAGTTTTCAATGATTAACTATAAATTATCAATTATTTATACCAAGTTATCATTTATTTACTGCTAAATTATTTATAATTTACTACTATCAATTAGTTACTATTAAACCAAACTTGATTTACTATTAAGTTATCATTGATTATTACTAAATTATCAATGATTAACTACTAAATTATTATTGATTTTTAAATAAGTTATCTTTGATTTACTACTATGTAGTTATGCATTTACAACTATATTATAATTGATTTATTGCTAAGTTCTTAATGTATTTACTATTTTGTTATTACTGATTTACTATTAAGTTATC